TATATAATATTTATTATAGAGATCTGTGGCCACGAATTAAGATATCTTAATTCGTGTCTGTGGCTAGTAAATAGTTTTTTGCCAACCGAAAACATGGCGGCTGTCTTATCAGTGTGCCTCACTTTTCGTAATATAGAAACCGCCCAGTTCGGTATCTAGTATAATATAGACATCTGTGATTTTAATGAATCAGTGGTGAGATAACTAACTTTTGATCATGATTTCATGACTTATAAATCATAATAATTACTCCATTAAATATAAATTTGTATGTGTTTATTGTGTTTTTATAGTTGTATACTTGTATGTGATAATTAGTGATATTAAGACTAATAGGACTTTAAGAGAGTTGAGTAACTTTGAATTACCGCCATAAAAGGGGTATCTAGTAGATCAAGGGAGATCTAAACGCAAAATGGGTAATTTAGATCCCCGGTTAGGATATTGTCAATTAGTTCCCTATGGTTATTTAGATCCCCTACCAATTAGATCCCTTAGTGTCATTTAGATCATGGGGATCTATTTGGATGGGGATCTAGGTGGCCGTTCACCGCGGCCAGCAGACTGTTATCAATTTACTTATCAATGTAATCGTTATCGCAACAAAAAAATTGTCGTCGTATCACAATATTCATAATCATAAATTCGTGGATTCTTCATTGTGAAACGTCAGTCGTTGTATTGAAGTATGGAATATGAATTATACCTATAATGGTAAATGATATTCTACAACTTACTTAAGTTGAACTCTTTCCTGAATTTTAAACCATTTTAAAGTATACGTACTATAGTATTATAATTACAAACGTTTATAATAAGAATATGATATTGTTTGAATACTATGTAGCCCCACTGCCGATACACAGTTAAGCAGTGCTCATCAATTGCAACACAGTATTTTGTCCACTAATCAAATAAATGGTAAGTTTATATCGTTTTTATATCATCTACCTACCTACTTTATGGTTACCCTAATTGTTCTGATGATTACAGGACCCGCTCAGCGACGATACTATCCCTTTCGGGGAGGAGAACACTACAAACTCTGGAAAATTACCGTTAGTTGAATATGAATACAAGACCTATACTCTTAATTATATTCTGTAACTTTTTAGTGGCTGTTCTGAATGTGGAAATAGAACAATAATTGCAAACAACATATTTGGGAATTAAATTTAAAAACCTATTGTACCCATAATTTATTTAAAAATGAATACTGAATAGCCATACCAAATATTATAGACCTAGACAATCAGCCTAGTATTCTAAAACCATAAAAGTAAATTTAACATTTTGTCAGATACTATTCGACATCGGTCAGATATGTCCATAACCCGCATTAGGAGCAAATCCAACGTTAGCATAAAATTAACGTCCAGTAAAAACAAGCAGTGGTCTCTTAATATATTGAATAAAACAAAACTTCTCACACACTTGTATAATACCCAGTCATTTGTTATTAGTTATTACCTACTAGAAACTCAATACCTCAATATTTTTGTTTTACTTTAGCCAGTCATACATTCTATTATAATAATATTATAATTTATAAGCTTATACATTTTTTGACAGTACCCAAATCCTACTAATATTTTAATGTTCCACAATAATGTAGTTTATGCTGCGTTTAATAACTTTTCTCTTGAAGAATACAATTTTATTTGTTTTATTTCAGGCATCCATGTGTAACTTTTTTTCACTTATTCTTCAGAGTGTCTGCTGTTGTCATCTATTTTTTCGGAAGAATATTTACTGAAAGCTTTATCACATTATTTGTTCTTATAATTTTATTATTATCTATGGACTTTTGGATTGTGAAAAATATAACAGGTTAGTTATCTACTTGATTGTGTATTTTAATATATTATATACAAATTGTATAAAAAATTTTATATTTACCTACAAATTATAATTATTGTTTTTGATATTTAGGTCGTATTATGGTCGGCCTCAGATGGTGGAATTATGTAGACGATGATGGGGTTTCACATTGGGTTTATGAATCACGAAAGGTGAGACATTTTTGGTTCCTACTATCCTCACTACCATTGGTGTTTGTCATCATTATGTAGGAGAACCTTCATGAATTAGTGCTTAAAATTAAAAAATTGGTTTCTTTTATGTTATGCTGGGTTAAAATTAGACCATTTATTAATCTATAGATACCGGACTTTAAAATAATATATTGATTTTTCATTAAATTATTCTAATCTTAACCCAGGACTTTTATTATATAGGAAGTATGGTTAACAATTTTTGTATTTTACTTATAATTAGGGCTGTGAATTCATAGGAAAGTGCATTTTTTTTTGGTGATTGTAAAACATAGCTTTGTGAGTACATAATTTGAATTATGTAATAACAAATCCATCTATGAAACTTTTATTTTGCATTTTTTGACGTTTTTGCATTTTTAGGTCATTTTTTCGCATTTTTAGGTCATACTTTGCTTTTTTAGTTCATTTTCTAGTATTTTTAATCAAATTCCATCAATTGACTTGTTTGAAAACTTTTTTTTTTTATTTTACACGGGCTGTATATATTATGTCAAATTTATATTTTATTAAATAATATTTTACACGAGTCACACGTGTAAAATACGGGTTAGGTAAAGATAACGTTTCAATAAAATAAGGCAATTGCTAGACAACTAGATAACTTAGAAAAGTTATTTTGGCATATTGTCAAATCAAATTCAATCAACATTTTTATTATTTTTTTTTTTTAAATACTTTTTGAACACTTTTTTGTTCTAATGTTTAATATCCTGTATCCAATATTAATATAAATATAAAAATTAAATTAAAAACCATTTTTAATAAATTGTATACTATAATTTTTGGCATTTTATATTCCTTTTTTTTGCATTAAATTCACAGCCCTAATTATAATGTTATGATGAGAGACAATAATATATTTTTATACCAAATGCTGATATTTGGCTCATTACTCAACCAAACCTTTGCTACACATGTATTTTTAAATATATAATTTTTATAACATGGTCATAGTCAGTAAATATTATGAGTTCCCTTTGTCAACAGGGATCTGTGCAGCATCGAATTAACTCCAGTGAATATAGAATATTTTGGGCTGGACTATGGTCTGTCACTGGAATGTGGATTTTATTCTTTATCACATCATTCTTTAGCATAAATTTTAAATGGATGGTAACTAGAACACATATTTCATTGTATGGGTTTATTCTTATGATTTAACAATTGTACAATATGTTTTCTTATTTTTTCTATAGTTATTGGTCAGCATAGCGTTGACTTTAAACATTGCAAATTTGTATGGTTATATTAAATGCAAAGGAGGGAATCAAGATAACCTGGGTATTTCTTCAATGGCCAGTAGTTTTATTTTTCAAAACATTGGAAAAGTAAGAACATTTATAAAATATAATTCATAAGAACTTTGTTTTCACTATCTATAGCTCCAAGTTCTGTTATATTAAAATAATTTATAGCTTATTGCAGAGGTTCCCTAACTGTGGCTCATTGTTATATTTCTAGTAGATCACTTTCAATTTTGAAATATTTATATATTTTTGTATATGATAAAATATTTAATGATAAATTACTTATATATACTATACGTCATACAAGTCTATGATACAGTATCTTCCATGTTAATATATTGTACTCTGATGTTCGTATTTGGTTTTATCATTGATCATTATTTATGAAAATTAGAAGTGTACCACTGTACCAGTGACATGTTACCACAACACTGCCAAACAGAAAGTTAGAAATAACAATGAAACAGAAAAAAACTCATTTGTATGTTGCGAGTTGCGAAAATTTAAATATTTTTCAAAATGGGTTACACGGTGAACAATTTGGGAACCTCTGCCATATTATATTATATAATTGAAAAATATTAAAATTAAAATGTTGTTGATAAATTGAGGCCTAATAATCTTTTGTATACCTATTTTTTTTTAATCAATGTAACTAAATAAAAACTATAGATTATTCACAGAACATTCACAGTAAAATATATTCTCTAAAATTCTGACTACAACATAGATTTTAGTGACATCTATTTTTAGCTTAAAATAAAATAACAAATTAAACATTCAAGTTGTATTTGAAATTTTACCCAAACACATAATATTGTTTAAGAGAAACGCCACACCAGCATGTGTTGTTTCCAACTTACAATCATAGTAAATTGTACATTCACGATAATCCATTTCACTCAGTTATGTTTAAGATTAGAGAGAAATGACCTTTTATTAAACTTAATGGTAAGATTTTTATTTTATCTAGGAGACTTAAATCAGTATTTTGATTTTGAAGCAAATTATGACAATTTTAAAATGTCCACCTTTAGAATAGGTACTCATAACTGGCTTTGTAATTAAAATATAAATAAAAGCCTCCAAGATGTCATAATAATTTTACCTTTAAATTTTAAATAGGTCAATTTACACTTTTTTCAATAATAATATAGTAAAGTGGACTATTTGAAATGTGAAATTTTTTATGTTGTGTGTTTCTCGTGATAAAAACAATATGTGGGTGTAGAATCCTCTTAAAGATTTTAATAATTATATTTTATTTACTTTGAGTTAGTTATGTAATGTCACTTTTGATTACTAAACTCAGTAATTTGAATATCATGTATGTAAATATGTATTATTCAGTTTATCAATTGTATAAAACTATGGTGGGTAATAATATCTTTTATAATTTCCAGGTAAGAGAGACAATGTCAAGTTTAAATAATCCTCCAAGCAGTCCACCAAATATAAAACCAACTGGTATTGTCTAATATTAAAGAAAAAATGAATTGTTACTCCAACTGTATGGCTAAATGTAAATTATAATTATCTGTATGTACCATTACCATAACTATATATTATAATTGTGTACATGGGTAAATGAATTATGAAGTCTAATAAAAAAACAACATGCATTATTAAAGAGTTTACAAATACAAAGAAATACAAATATTTGCTTTATATCAAAAAAAAAAAATAATAATAATAATACTTTGGTCTCGTAATCAGACATAGACAAGTATGCTATGTTGTGTGTGTGTATGGATAAATTATTAAACTAATGACAGATTTGATAAATAATTTGTTCTATTTATTACATGGTTAATGATTAATAGCTTATAGTTAATTATAAAAAAAAACTTATTATAAATAATTTACTCAACATTTGAAAAGTAGTAGGTATAATACACAATGTACATATTTAATCTTATTTCATTAAAAACTGTAACAGAAAATAAGTTTATTTGTGAACATAACGATGCATATTACTTATAATATAATATTTTTTATATTTGTTGTGTGGGTCTTATCTAGTGACGTTTACAGGGATAGAATTTTTAGGGTTCTAAACTGCTAACCCCTCTGAAATTTCTTTTTTCTACAAAAAAAAATCTAATTTAACATCACAATCAATACATAGCGTAGATTAAGTGTTTGACATTTTTAAAAGATATAAAATAAATTGTAAAGTGACAATAATATCCAGAATATCAATATTATCAGATTTTTTTGGCTGACAAACGTCTGCCATAATCCTTGTCTCCTGTATCATCAATTATTACTACGTTTATAATGGCTTGAAGATGGCCAGATTAAATTCTCTAAATAAAGTACAAATTTGAGTTACAGAAATAGAAAATTATAAATAGGTAAGCCATGGAAATATTAGCATTGCGGAAACCGTTTGATTTTTAAAGTGAATGAAAAACAAAACATTGGTGATTTATATCAATAAATTAAATAACATCACTCATCATTTTATTGACAGTAATGGTAATAATAAATAAAATACAATTGTCGTGTAGTAGTGTTGCCATTGGTTGGTCGGTTGTGGGGTCAATACATGTGGAAAAAAATGCAAAAAAGTTTGTGGTCCAGGTGAGGCTCGAACTCACAACCCCGGCATCGCTCACGAACAACTGTCTTATAAGTACCGTGCGCTAACCGATTGCGCCACTGGACCTGTTCGTCAGGAGCCGATTTGTACCCATTTAAGTGGTCTTGCCAACGGCGGTAACGAAATTGTTTATTCAAATATCGTTGATGCAAGTATTTTAATTTTATTTGTTTAATCAAGTGTTTATTATTATTATTGTTATTGAACAATAGAAAAGATAAAATATTGAATGATATGATAATAGTTTTGTATAATGATTTACTATATTCATTAGCCAGTCATCATAGATGTGCGCGTAGCTCATATTATGTTGAACATCAATTGAAAATATCTACCTACTAAAAAGTGCTATTAAATTTTTTAATCCTGTATTTCTAACATATAACAGGCATTAATTTTTTGTATTATACCTAGTAATTTTTCGTATGACATAATTGATATAATACTGTGTATTTAATTTTATATTAGGATGCCAAAGTTGCAATATAAACCCACCACCCACATAGGTAGGTACATAAAAAACAGTCAAAAATTAGATTTGGAAAATGTGTAAGTTTGTGGATTTAACAAAAATGTTCTACTAAATCAGCAAATTTGATAAAAAAAAAAAAATTGAATTGTATAAATCACCCTATGAAACACGTAATTCATGGAATGATTCTGTATCATTTCTATAATTCTAATTTACAAATTTCTTGACGGAAATGAATCTGAATTCAGAACAGTTATGGACAAATGAAATATTGTTGGGTGAGAATACAATATTACCTAATTGTACCCATTCCATAACAATTTAAATAAGTGTAACAAATATAATATTGCATTTTGGGAAAATACCAAAATGTTTTATGTTTAATTCCTATAAACCTGGACATAATACAAGGAAACAAACATATTAATTTCGGATTTTGGTTGCATACAATTGAAGAACTCTCTTTATAACTTACTCTTATGTCTCAAGAAAATACCATTTATTTAAGACAAGTATAACCTTGTATATAACCTTTGTTTCTTCTTAATTTACTGATAATAAGTTTAACTAATTATTGGCAATAATAAGATTTTCTGTTTATCATCTAATACATATTTTTATGTCTTTCAGGCACATATTTTGTAGTGTATGGCAATGATAAAATGAGCATTTGGTGAACATTTTAAATATTTACAGTTATTCGTTTTTTGAATCAGAATCAATGATCCAAAATCGATATTTGGGATAGAGTATACTGTATAAATGCTCCTGAACAGAGTGTTGTAGAACACAAACATAATGAAGAATATTCATTAAAGATTTTTTTTTAACGTTTTCTAACATCATAAATATGTAGGTACCTATTTATTACAAGATCGGTAGATATTAAAATTAATCGATATTTAAGAACTTCACTAACAAAAACTTCGATTGTTTGCGATTATTTCATTTATTTAAAAAGTAATTATAAATATTTTGAATATTATGGTTATTATTTATTACAAAAGAATTTAATTAATTAATTGTCTTTACAGGTATTTAATAAATACAATAGACCACTTCCCAGCAGTACCTTGGTAAAAAAATATTTATTATTGGCGGTAGGTACTTCCATGACAAAAAAAAAAACAAATAACAGCAATGACTAACAAACATTTTAAGCATATCATATTTTTGAAATGTAATAGCTATTTAGGGATATAAATAAAATAAATATTGTGCCTGTGATATTTGTGTGGTTAGGTTAGGTCATCTTATTTTTATGCTTAATAATGCATATATTGAAATTTAGATTTTTTGAATTGCCTATATAGTATATACAATTGAAAACCTTTTTTCGAATTATTGAAATTTTTTGTGCCACTTAAGGATGATCCTGTGACAAACTTCAGTTTTTCAAATAGTAAACTCCCTTTTTCATTTTTAATTATTAAGCAGATATTTTTTGTTGAGAATTTTGATGTATCTAAATCAAAATTCAAGCACGTAGTTTTTGAGTTATGTAACTTTGTGTTTTAATGATGATATATCTATGGTAATTGGTCAAGTAGTAGAGGGCTTAGACGATTTGAAAAAGTTGGCAATTACTATTGGTTTATCAATATAAATAATTTGTAGAAATGATCAAAGTATAATAAATATTACACCTAACATTACATATAGCTTTTATTTTTACAAAACCATTTTTAAAGACTATTATCTTTAGCATAAACATTTTGATAACCCAGAACTAGGTACCCGTTAGAATTTTTATTTAGATACATCAACATTTTCAAAAATACCATTCGCTAAATAATTTTCAGTAAAAAGGGGGGCTCTCATTTGAAAAATAGTATGGTACTCCTTAATTAGTACAGAAATAGCCCAATAATCTCTATAATATGTACTTACACATCATGATGCAATAATAATATTATGTTATAGTTATACAGTAACTGTTCGTTCTACTTGGCTCCAAGGTGATATGTTAACGCTGATGTCCCAAAACTAGAAGAGTTACCTGCAGTTCCAATCATTAAAACGATATTAGTGTTGTTAATAGGTAACTAATATTAATAGTATTGTGTTTCCCGCATACATAGGTGCAACTAGAGGCCAAAAACTGGGGGTACTAAAATTATACAGAGGAAACATCGACAAGAGGTTCCAGGATTATCAATACTTTCATCTTCTATAAAGAGATAGTTTTTTTTTTGTTTTTTTTTATTCAAATTAAAAATATTAAACATTTTGAAATGTATAATAGTTAACATATTTTACAGTTCACATTAATATAAGAAAGCGAAATATGTTATTGAAATCGTTCAAATGGGTTTAGATAATGACAACGATTGGGCAGCGTAATGCGTGTACACTGTAATATAATTTTTAATAAACAAATTTCAAATGCCCAATTTGTGTTTCGGCTAAAAAGTCAAATAAAAAAAAATCTCATGAAAACAAAAAAAAAATTTTCTTATGATGATTTTTAAATTTTTGGTGATTTTGATCTGGGGGTGCTAAATTAAAGGCTGAGGATGCTGAAGCACCCACAAGCACCCACCTAGTTGCTCCTATCCCCACATACCTACTATGGCATAGGTAGGTACATAAATACATAATATAATATTATGTAGAGCCAACTAAATATAATATGATAATGGAATGTTCAATAAACAACCTACTCACGACAGTCCTTTGAATTTCGATGCCGGTAAGTATACGTGGTACGATACTATTATATTGTATAGAAATTGAATATAAATTCGATAAAAACTAATAATAACCACGAATTTTATCTAATAACAATCAAACTAAGCTATTATCTATTAAAACAAAATCGGTTGCGAATTTCAAATAACGTTAAAAACAAACACAGACATTAAATTTAATAATTTTTAAGCCTTTAAGTGAAAATGTGAATAAAACTATTGATCATATGCTAATAATAATTGACAACACCGGAATAGAGAGTGATATTTAGGTCTAAGAATAAATGTATACATTTTGGTGGTGGAATTCATGTGTACCACATACTATAATAATTATAGGTACCTAGGTGCCTATAAACTCAAGTATAAAAGTGAAGATTGTGTATCGGTATAACGGTATCATACCTTATCGATAAATATAACTTTTTTTCTAAGATATAATTCTGAAAATGTAAGAAGAAATGTACGTTGACTAATGACCTCAAAATGTCTATTTCAACTTAAGTGTAAACCATTAGTCAAACTACAACACTCTATGTATCTAATTTATGTTTTCCAACTAAATTAAAAATTAAATTTTCTTTACGTCCATTGAATTTACCGTATCAATTATTAAGTCTACATTAGACCGCTGTAAATATTTATAAATTACAGTTTCAAACTTTTTGAGCCATATATAATTATTAATTTGACACAAATCTAACAGGCGATGGTCATATATTCCACCAGACCATGTCCAGAAGGACCTATAGGTACAATCATAATGTTGTACACGGAATGATCAGAATTTAGTGTTAAAAATCGTGTAATGTCGACATTATTTTTTTAACATACATTCTGATAATCTAGACTAAATTATAATAGTAATCAGTCTCATCCTGACGGAAAGGTATATCGTCTGAGGAATGAGGATAAACATTAAAATTCCGTAATTAAGTAT